GCTTGATTTCTCTCACTGCAACCTGGTGTCACTGTTTTGGCTTAGCTGTGTGGTGGGCAAGCAGATCCAAGTTCTGTTCAGTAACAGTATCGTAGGTGTAATCCCTGGCGCAATGTGGCTAAGTCTCTGATGGGCAAATGCAAATACCCTAAACACCTGGTCCCTGCCCCAAAAAAGATACTGGAGGATGTTAAGCAGCTCTTAGCAGAATTCCCATGGAAGCTGCACAGGCCATACCCAGTGCCGCTGCCTATCAACACACAAAGCTCTAGTGCTATGGTCCCAGGGCTTGGAAGCCAGCCCTCATAATAAAAATAAATAAAAAACATCATGCCTGCAGATACTAACCCTGTTCCCTCAGAGGTCTATTGGGACACCCTGGAACAGGAGACTTGAGCATATGAGTCTGGGAGAAGGTGACCTCCTCCACCACTCACAACAGAGGCTACTCAATACCATCAGGTAAACACCCAGAGAGAGAGAGAGAGGAAAAAGAAAATTAGCCACCTAGAAATACAAGCCATTCTAAAGATTTTATTTTTAAAAACCAAAGGGGGTGGGGGAAAGAAACATTCTCTTGTGGTCCAGGCTGTCCCAGAAAGACTTCCTGCCTAAAGGCACTGGGCCCCTTTCTTTCTCCTCCTTTTCCTCTTATGAACAGAAACCAAAAACCTTAGCTTCAGGTCCAAGGGAAAAAAGAGGAACTTTAAACTTTAAGTCCTAAGCAAACTCCAGGTCTAGTAAACATGATACCTGCCCTAGATTACTAGGGGGGGGAAATAAAAGATAATTAAATAAAATATATGTATAATATCTAATATAAATATATAATAAATAGATAAATTGTGTAGATGATATATTTTCCATAATTTGATCCCATTAGAAATTCAAAATTTGGCGCCGCTTGGGAGTGCGGCGGCACTCCCGCCGAGGGTTCGGATCCCACATACAGACCGGTTCCCGCTCACTGGCTGAGTGAGGGGCGGGCGCAGCACCGAGGGTTGCGATCCCATTGCCAGTCCCGGTCCGGTACAGGCGCAACACTGAGGGTTGCGGTCCGTTGCCAGACACGAAAAAAAAAAAAAGACAAAAAGGAAAAAAAAAAAAAAGAAATTCAAAATTTGTATACTAAAGAATTTATATATCAAACATATAAAAATGGACACTGATTGGCTTTTGTGTCTCTACAACATGGGTTCTAATTTAACTTTAACATTTGCTAAAATGCACTAACAAAAATTCATGGATGCAATACTGGGACTCAAATTATAATTACACCTGGGGATTCCACTAAATTAAACACTTTGCCCATATAATCTTGAGAAGGTAACTAAATATGAAATTTAAAAATAAATATGCCTTTAACTGTAGCCTTGCCTATATTTACCATAGTCATATACCCATTGCTGTAAAATATTCTATGTGGGCATAGATGCTCTGACATACTAAATAATAAAAGTAAATTTTTTTGCACTTACAAACTGACTTGTTAAAATGGGACCCCATGAACCCCCAGTTAAGATAGTTAATTTGGCCCAATGTAAGTTTAAGCAAGGACTTAAGTACTAAAATGTATTGTATAAAACCTAATTAATAAAGGGGTAATTATCCCCCTTGCTTCTCCATTTAACAACCCAATTTTTTCCTGTTACCCAAATCTGAAATACCTGAAACTGGGTGATTCATAAAGAAAACAAAATTTATTCCTTACAGTTTTGGAGTCTGGGAAGTCCAAAGTCCAGAGAACACATTTAGTGAAGACCTTGGTGGTGGCAACAGTGACCCAGGGGTCTTAACGGCAGAAAATGGTGGAGAAGAGAGAGAGAGACTCTCACGTGCTTTCCTTTTAAAACCCTCAGAACCAGGCCTCTGACCACCATTATTAATCCATTCACTATGGCACGGTCCTATAATCTAATCACCTCTTCAAAGCCCCACCTTTCAATTACCATAATAGGATTTCCCACCTCTTTACTGTCACAGTGGAGGCTAAGTTTTGGGGGGATATTCAACCCAAGGCATTCATATATACATATGTGTGTGTATATATACACATATATATGTATATTTATGGTGCCTTATGATGGATTTCTATAACCTTAATGCTGTGGTCCCATACCTAATAGCTAGTATTATTTAAATTGCTAATAGTATTTAATCAACAACTGGTAATATTTTGCTTTTCTAGAATTGGCTAACATGGTCTGTTTGTTGCCTATTTCAACAGCCTTTACCTGTAGTTTGCTTCCATCTCTGAAGGGACACAGTAGACCTTTCTAGGCTGCCCATGGGGGACCTCCACAGCTCTGTCGTCACATACTATCTTTGCAGACACGTTCTTAATGACATCTATCTTCTCCAGGAGCACAGGTACAACACTATATTGAGAACATTCTCCTCCAAGGAGATTCATTTAATGTATGCACTAAGGACTAAGTTCAATTTCTTAGTATTTTTGGGTTCTGGTGACAACATATTCCTCATTTATAAATTTTACTTCTGAATTAAAATCAACAGGCACTCCTGTGAGTACCCTCAAAAAACTCCTTTACTGAAGAGGCTGTGCAAACCTTTTGTGAAGCCTCCTGGAGTCTCTGGACCACTTTAAGACCCATTAGTTGTCCTTGGGCTTCTGATGCAAGATTTTGCCCCTCTTGGCCTTGTGCTACATGCCACTAAAACTACAAATGACTGGCTGCCTACAGGCTGTCTTAGAAATAGAGCCCCTCCCAGACCCTGAGCCTGTGACCCTTCATACCCAGCTGCCATTGTGCTTTGGGTCATACAAACAGCACCTGACAAACTCAGCCCTGCTACTGAGGCCTCCCTAAGACAGGGTGGAGCCAAGCCTGGGCCCTCTGGAATATTCCAACAGCAGGAGGTAGTGGCTTTCCCTGTTCTTAGTCCCTTGCCAGATGCCAGAATGCTTAGTCCTTCCCCAAATCCCTGGACTACCTGGGAATCTGCCTGAGATTAATTGAGTGAACAGTAATGGGAGCTCACAGACTATGTGAATGGTGCTGCAAACCATCATACATGATGGAACTCATGGCACTGATGCTGCTTTCCAACCCTTAGCCAGGATGTCCCTAATAAAGAAGAGGACCCCCAAAACAACACACTTGGCCAAACTTCAGGCAGTCGTATTAGCACTGTCAACAAATAGTCTCATGTTCATGTTTATTGTAAACTATTAAGGCATGACCTAAAAATTGTTCCCTTCAAGGTAAAATCTCAGGGAAATTTCTTGCCTCACAGATACCCAATATATACATCAAAATCACATATTTCCTCATATGCTAAGGCCACAATGCAAGGCCCTGGATAGAACACTCTTTATTCCCTTAGGAGTACAGCATTACAGGCTGGCTGGTTAGCTCAGCTGGTTAGAGCACACTGTTAATAACACCAAGGTCAAGGGTTCAGATCCCCATACAATCCAGCTGCCCTCCCCCCAAAAAGAATTACAGACATTACTAATAGTGACTAAGGTATGGAATATACCAATATTCATAAAGCAAATGTATTTCGCAGGGCCTCCAAAGCCCTGCAGTTTCAGGTTTAGCCTAACTTCTTAAAAGTACATATAGAAATGCTAACCTTGCAAAAGACAGGAAACTTTCCCCAAGCTAAAGTCTCCATTGTAAGAAAGAATTGTAACACAGCAAGGTTGCTGGCTCAAGGACAGACAAGTTACTTGATTGATATATAAATGCTGGGGAAGCTGCTGTAGGGATAGAGAATGTTTGCTAAGATCAAGCTTTTGTTGGAAGGTCAACTTAACCTTTTGCAAATTGAATTACGGAATGTCACTTTGCTTGTTTTACCAATGTTACTAGCCTCTGTTGTTAAACTTGTTAAACTATACTTAGCTAAAACCCCACCTATGTTCTTTTCCTATAACTTCCTGGTCTGGAGAATAAATGTGGGGCAAATACCCCATTCATGGTTAATTTCCCAAAGAAAGGAATGCCTCGCTCTTGATGATTCCAGGAGATTAACCCCTTCGGGGTCTCTCACTGCTCTGAAGAGATGAGCTTTGAGTAATCCTTTGCAGCTCCGTCACCCAAGGGAAGAAATGTGACAAATCTGTGGGAGACAAAGCAACACTAAGGCACACATTTTACTTCTCAGAACCCACCATGCTGGGCTCTTAAAGGAGGCATTCAATAGAACTTCCATGTTTCTGATAGGTCCCAAATAACTGATGTAATTGAAAGACATAATGATGTCCTCAAACAATCCCTTTCCAAACTCCAGCCCAACAAAGAAACCCCTAAAGTTCTCTAGTTTGTTACAGTCCTTAACCTATTTTTATAAATTTTCCATCTCACCCCATCCTATAAAGGATGGAGGACACATTGAGGAAACACTCTCCCCTGGGACACATTACTACAGATTGTCCCACAGGCCAGGCAGCTGCTCATCTGATATGGGAGTCATTTAAACCTAAACTGCCACCAAAAACAAACCCTTTCAGGTGCAGCTGCACACTATCCAATTGATAGCTGGTCTGATTACTACTGGTTTAGGTGCTTTTATAGGTTTATAACCAAAGGCCCAAAATGTCCAGTAGACCATTGTTTTAACCAAATATGACAAATTCTGAGGTCCACATCAACTCTAATGGGTACGCACTGGAAGAAGATACTTAGTCCCACATTCCAGATGACATTGTCCTGGCCTAAAATCTCACCACTGGGGATGACATCAACTCAGACTACATCACCCTAACCCAAAACCTCAACCTTAGAGATGACTTTGCCCCTGTGCTGCAGCAGACTTTACCCCTTTCACTAAACCTCCACCCCAGTGATGCCCCATAGACTGCCTTTCCTAAATCACCAATGGACACAGGAATTTGTTTGCTCTTCGTGAACTCACTGTCTGCTTAACCCATGATCCTGATATGCTTCTTACTCTCTGTTTAGATGTACACCCCTGCACTCCCATACCTACAGGGAACTCTGATACAAGTTACAAAAATCAACAGAAGTGCTGGCTGGTTAGCTTAGTTGGTTAGAGCACGGTGCTGATAACACCAAGGTCAAGGGTTCAAATCCCCCTACTGGCCAGCCACAAAAAAACTAAAATAAATAAATTTAATGGAGATTATTATTTTCCCCAGGATGTACAAGCCCCATATCAGTCAACTCCTTGACCCCCTGGGGAGAGGACCACCCACTCCCTGATGTCTTTTCCTATTACTGCCCTCCAGCTTTCCACCACAATCTCTCCCCTTGCAGATGCAACCACCACAACCACTTTCCCTCACAGTCAGTAGATCTTCACCACTTGAACTACAACTGCCTTATACTTGTAGCATGATGGTGAGGCACCAAGGGGTGAGTTGTAGTGAGTTCTTATACTTTTACGTTGCCATGGTGTCCATTCTGAATGCAGGTTTAACTTTCTCATACCAGAAGCAGGGCTCAGTCGCCCTTGACACAGGTTCCAGTTCCCGCCACACCCATGTGGCTCCAGCTGCTGGCCACAGACAAGAATTTAGAGGCATCTCACCAGCCTAGCAGACTGGGCTCCTGCTTTCCCACTTCTTCCTTTAAAGGGGCCATTCAGGCACCTGCCTGTGAACTTAAAGTGATCTCGTTCCCTGATATGTACTGCTAGTTGCCACACACTCTCTCTCTCTGCCTGACTCCTTATTCCTGTCTCTCATGACCTGGGGAAGGTGACAAGGATGACTCATTGTGCCCTCCCTGCCTAGGACCTGCAAGTAAAAATAGCTGAGCTTGACTCCTGTTGTGGAGTTTGCGCTTTCCATCTGAAGAGCCAGGGGCTGCCGCAGGCTGGGATTTCTCAGGACAGGGAACACAAAGTCAAGCTCCCAGCACCAGAGCACAGTCAGGCAGGCAGAAGCTGGGCACAGGTCAGATGAGAGCTGCAAGAGCGTCTGCCAGTATAAGAGAGTTTCCCGTGTCTCAGATCAGACAGCTAGACATTATGCTGTTTGCCAGGTAACAGAAGTACCCTGTGAAAGGTGCACTGTAAACACCCACACCAGCTCCCCTTCATTTCCCATCAGGGCAGGGTGGCTAGCCACTCTGGTACTGGAAACCCAGTTTAGCTGGGGACTATCAAAACACCATTACTGACCTCTCAATTCAGAATTTGGAAAATGTGGTAAATCATGCTTCACTGGTCAGTAATCATAAATGGTTTGTATTGTATTAACTTCTTGAGAGGAGGTCTTTTGTGTTTCCAATCCTTAAAATGTCCATGAGACAGAAAGAGTGAAATCCTTGGCATGTATTCCTCTGTTTCTGCATACACTGTCTCACTGATCCTCACAATAACCCCGTTACTGTATTACTGTCCCCATTTGACAGATGAGGAAACAAAGCCCCAGGGAGATTAGGTGATCTGCTGATTGCCACTTGTCCACTAAGTGGGACAGCCAGAAAGAGAGAAGCAAGGTCTTTAACTTACAGTCCTCAGGGTCCTTGTTTCTCCCTTGAGTTGGACACAATCTACATTGCAATATTATTACATTTTTATTTTAATACTGTGCCTACTATTAAATAGGGCAATAGATCTAATAGAATTTCCCAGAAGACTTATCCCCCTCTCTGGGCTTCAGCCAACAGCTCAGCTGAAGACATCGTGGAATCTTATCTCACTCTGGCTCTTGGTATGCACACCAGACACTGTCCAGACAAACTAGAAAGAGCTCCACCAGGACCCCTGGCATGAGAGGACCCAACTAGACCAAGACAGCGAAAACAAGAGTGAGGAGAAGGAAACAGAGCACTGTGATGGTCCAGATTCCCAGCCCAGGCTCTCCCATCCACCCACTGGCCACACTAGGAGCTTGTCACCTGGGGAGTGACCAGGACAACAGGGCCCTACAATTCAGAGTGTGGCTAGGGAGTGAGGAAGAGCAAACCCATCTGAGCCACTTTTGCAGAAGGAGTTAGAAGCCTTCTGGAAGTTGTCAGGGAAATCCCTGCAACTTATAAACCTCTCCTAGCTGCTCTGAAGACAGGCTCCAGATTTCCCAACTGCATTAACCCTTAACCTCAGTCCCCAACACTTTTCAGTAGATTTTTGTGTCATAACCCTGCACCCACAGAGACTGGGCTTCAGTGTCCCAGCTGAGTTTGTCACTGCTAATTTGCCTCACCCAAAAAGCTCTACTCTGGATAATATAGTGTCCCAGGGCCACTGGAAAATTCATTTAAAGGGCCAATTTGCCATTGGAGAAAACTATGTAGACATTACAATTGGAAAACTTCATTAGACCCGGGAACTGGAAAACAAATAGCTTGGAAGTAATGATTTAAATTATGCTATGGCAGAAATAAAATATTAAGTGTAATGAACATAGTTGATTATAAAAGAATATTTATTTGATTTTTGATGGATTGCTGTTCATAATGTGGGCCAGCAGAAAGATGTAAGGCTAAAATCGTTTGAATTGATTGTTACGGAATAAATTTTTAAAATATAAAAGTAGTTCCCTCTGTAAGTCCCTGTATAGCATCTGGTACAACATCTGTTCGTAGTTAATAAAGAAGACTTGAAACCTTTCAGTTCCAAAGTAGCCCATTGACCCCAATTACTTGGGGCAGTCCCTTTGACATAATTTGGTATTCCAGGCATACATGGTTGCCTGAAGAACTACAACTAGTGAGATTTGCTTATCTTCTCTCAAAGAAGAAAGAGGAGCCAGTTTTGGTGAATCTGAGATGACCCAGTCTTTTACACCAGCCATGCCAGCATCACATAGGCAAGAGTGTACTGTGTTTCTTTCTTTCTTTCTGTTTTGGCACCTGATATGGGGATCTGAACCCTTGACCTTGTTATAACACCATGCTCTAACCAGCTGAGCTAACTGGCCAGCCCTGTGCTATGTTTCTATCTGAACTCTTTCCACACATCTGATAAAGGCCTGGAACTTAGGACTGAAGGATACAAGTAAGAAAAAGCATATGGGCTTGAATGTCCACTGCCTCAAGCAGATCTTCACCTTATGATGACTCGGCTTGCGGAGCAAAGAAAATATGAAAAAGAAGAAACACATCTCAAAATTTCTGGAAACAACCACAGAACATCTAGACTAGAGATTTTATATGGCTGCTCTTCCATAGAAAACTCTGTTCTTTTCTATTGCTCAGTGATTCCACGAACGGATGTGTAGGTTGTGAACCACATGAGGGCTTCACATTTAAGAAGATGTCATTCTTATTGTAGGCATCTCATAACTGTCTATTTTTGTGCATGTTTTATTTATAATTTTATTGACCCTAAAAATGGATATATTGACAGTTTTTTATGGCATATGGGAATAACATATCTTGGTAACAAAATATGTACAATTTTCAAAAAAAAAGGTAAATGGTCTTTATCTAACTGGTTCAATATGTGTGTCATTCTGCTTCCATTTATACAAGAGGAATACATACAATAATAGAAAGATCTTTGTGATCTAAAAATATCCAAGATAACCTGTTCTTTTACACAAGGAGATGCTTTGCCAACTAATCAACTGGTTGAGGAGTATCAGAAAATTTAAAACAAAATCCCCTATTGGTATTAGGGTACTGGCTAAACTTGACATAATAGTGCATATCATCAGCTATTTATTTATTTATCATACTAGAAAGGTATTGTCGAGTTTCTCCAAATATTTTGGTTATGACATAAATCACTACATAAAAACTCATATTTATTGACTACTAAAAATTCACAGAACAGTATCATATAAACTAGAGATTACTAAATAATTATCCACTATTTTTATAGCAATTGTTTCTGTTACAGAAATTTTATCAGTATAAAAATACTGCTATTAAAATTTAGAGTATAACATGCATACTATTTTCATTTATTTTTAGTTTTCAAATTTTTATTCTTAATATCGTACTTACAAAAAAGTTTCAAAAATGGTATAAAAATTTTCTGTATATACTTTTTCCATCTTTCCTTAATGTTAACATCTTACATAATTATCATACAATGATCAAGAACATGACACTAATATTGATACAATGCTATTAACTAATCTAAGGAACTTACTCAAATTTTACTAGTTGTCCCTATTTTATGTTCTTTTTCTGGTCCAGAATCCAATCTAGGGTTCCACATTGCATTTAGTTACTATGTGTCCTTAGTCTCTTCCAAACTAGGACAGTTTTTATTGCTTTGTTTTGTTTTTATGTCTTTGACAATTTTGAAGAGCACTGGCCAGTTATCTTGTGGAATGTCCCACAATTTGAGGTTGTGGTATAGTAAAAAATGTGTTTGGTCTTTTCCTGGCAGTAAGCTCCTATGATCCTTGGAATTTCCTGAGTGATAGGAGTGTCTTTGTTAAACTAATGAGGCTACTCCTAGTCCTAGTTTTAGGATAAGGACTGGCTGCCAGAAAAAAACAGCCATGTGATTAGAGGCTTAGAACTTTCAGCCTCATCCCCCCACCTCTGGGCATGGGAGAGGAGCTGGAGATAGACTCCAATCATCAATGGCCAATGATTTAATCAACCATGCCTACATAATGAAGCCTAGATAAAAACCCCTGAACAATGAGGCTCTGAGAGTTCTGGGTTGGTGAACACACTGATGTGCTGGCAGTGCAGTACACCCAGAGAGGGCTTGGAAGCTCTGAGTCCACCTTGCTCTATGCATCTCTTCCATTTGGCCATTCCTGAGTTGTATCCTTAATAATAAGATTGTAATTGTATATATAGCACTTTCCTGCGTTCTGTGAGTCTTATTGAAACTAAGCAGGGAGAGATTGTGGGAACCCCCAAATTTGTGGTTGACAGGCAGAAGTGTGGGTGTCTTGGGGACAACCCAGAATTGTAGCTGGTGTCTGAAGTAAGGCACTCTTGGGGGGGCTGAGACCCTTAACTTGTAGGGTCTATGCTAACTCCAGGTAGTGTCAAAATTGAATTGTATTATAGGACACTCAGCTGGTCTCAGAGAATTGGTGTTGGAAAATGACACACAGGGTTATCTGAGATCTCCTCACAAAGAATTTAGGTCATGCATTTTTGGTAAGAATATCATGGAAGTGATTTTGAAACCTTCTTGGTGCATTATATGTAAGAAAATAATC